GTCAGTGAGGATCTACTGGGTTTCCAGCCACCAAAGCATAGACATAGTAACAAAACCGCAGATGAACTTGCAAAGGAAGGCGTCGGACTGGCGAGTGAAAGAGCAGAAACTGTCCCTATCTGCCTAAGACCGCTCCAAAGCGGGCTAGAGAGACGGGCTGACACAGGTGCAAAAAGCAGGTGGAGGAGTAATTCCGCAACCTGCAAAATATCAAAAATCATGTGCAAAGAGCGCAACGAGAAACTCAGTCATGGCGTGCTGCATCTTCCGCGAAAGGATTGCTGAATGTTAGTGGGAATTGTAACAGATCACTGACTGTCTGCCCATGCAGTCAAGGGTATCACCGACAACGCCAAGTGTCTGAAATATGACGAATCCAAGGCTTCCGAAACCTTGGAGCATCTTATTTGCAAATGTTAGGCCCTAACGAGGGCGAGGATAAAACACCTAGGCTCTCCCGATCTGGCATCTCTAGAAAAGATTCTGGCCTTTAAGAGGAAGCCAGGTGAACTACTTGCCTTTGCGAAAAACACCTTGATCTTCAAGGACCTCGAAAACTGCGCAAATATTCTCTAGGTCCATCCAGAAATTTCCCAAACAACTAAGGGCCGTATTGGCCTATGCGTGGCCCCGAGAGGGCCGTTCGGGATGTGGAATTTTATGCTTTTTCTTAGAATTTGTGTTGGGGTAGATTTAATTGAACTGGAAGAGAGATACCGAGATTAGTTCAGATCAGGACTGGAACTGTCGTGAGTTGCCGGCAGACGTCACAACACCAGCTCGCGACAATTCCCCAGTTAAGCCACCGACTCACTACGCTATCCTAATGCACACAAAGGAGACCAGAACCCATGCTCCGCGATTACACGGAAACCAGGCATAGAAGGGACCAGCCCTACGGAGAACTCTAGGAAACGGGTTATCGAACAAGAGTACCTTGGACCACGACTTTCCACAAAGGTTTTCCGCCAACAACAAAGAAATATATCAGCTTAAGACATTCTGTCGGCAACGGATATAAGTCGAACTTCCTTTCAAAAAAGACAATGTCATACAATCACCCTAAAAAAATTGTCATAAGGAAGGTTACTGTGTAAGATGTGGTCAGCAACACTCCAGTAAAGACTACCAATGAGATGCCCGTCCATCAAGCTATGGAACCAACTGCAAAATGAGGCAATGCGCAACATTGACAAACCAACAGCAACTGCAACAATTTTCTCCACTAGGAAGTAGAAACGGAACCAGAACCAGCAAAACCAACGAAGGGAACCCAACAACAGCAACAATCTCACCAGCAAAATTCATCCCAGCAACTTCAAAATATCCAGATCAATCAGCAATGCACATTGGGATGAAATGCTTTTATTTTGGCCACAACCGTAATTTTAAAGCTAGAAAGTTGAAACTTGGAGAATTTGCTGCTTATATTATTTGTGAATTTCGGTTTTTTTTTTTTTACACTGCCACCTTTCCTTCCCTGCCGCCCTCATAATAGAACTGCAGTATATTCATATAAAATTCATATTAATGTTGTTATATTTTTTTTGTTGCATTTTTTTATCCATAATTGTTAGAAAATTTTTTATTTTAATATTTTTGCATATTATAACTTAATTTGATAAACGAAAACTTAAAAATAAGTACATAAACTTGTATTAATATAAACGTTCTTCTTCTAAATCAAAATCTAAATATGGTATACTTGTAAGGTTGTCTTTAATATTATATACTTGGGCTGCATCTTCTGGATTTGGAGAAGCTAAAAGTGCAATAACTTCACTTGGCAATGAGTGTGATTTTGAACTCATTTTTTGAGCGATGCTTGATAAGTAAGGATCAGAAGAATTTAAAGCTCGATGAAATACGTCAGTTAAATTGTTCACTCGGCTATTTTTCCTCGCATGCAAATCAAAAAGTCGCGATGACATTGCGATTATTATACAGCCAAACTTCCTGTAAGTCACCTCGACGAATTCCAACCTGGCTCGCATCTGTTGAAATATCAAACCCCCCCGCAAGTTCCCGCAAATTATTTAATTGCTATCTGAATATACACATAATAACACATACTACCACATAAGCTGTTATTTGAATCCTGTTGTATCTTGCTAGATATGCTCCACGAAACACAAATATTTTAAGGTTAGAATCAACAAAACTAGTGTTTACGTATTTCATTAAAAGCATGACAAAACAAAAGCACAAATAATTAAACACTTATACAGATATTTTCTACATACAATGTGAAACATTTTCCATTTTAAGGTATTTTAATTGGTCAAACTGTTTAAGAATACGAGAACGTCAAAGTTAAGGAACTTGTCTAATCAGCAAACTTGCACGCACTACGTGGCAAGAACAGTTGACTTTCAAGGGCTGGTGGAAGACAACGGCTGGACAATAAAATACCAATTAAATATTTTTGATGTCTAGGGACATTTCTTAGCTTAAAATAATTGTAACAATATTGATATATTAACACGAATTTTTTAGGTTTTGGCCAAAATAAAGGCATTTCATCCCAATGTGCAATGGAAGCAGGAAGAGGAAATGTTTATGCGATCTGATATTTTTTCATTAGATCAGTTCTCGTTAGAAAATATGTTCCAGATAATGAAGTCAATAATGACGCTCGTCTCTGGCCTCTAATTACAAAATACGTCAGGAACGGCTTAACCAATCTCTTGACATCTTCCAGTTCATCCAACCCAATAATGAGTCAATTCGGACTCAAAATTGGTGTGTGGAACGCCTACGGGCCAACAGAACAGCTAGAGCTTTTTGATTATAAACATCACATTGATATTGTCTTGGTCAGCTTAACAAACTTCTGCTCTCGGTCACACTACAAACTACACGGATATGACATTCACCTATGTAACCATCCCGCCGCTCTGCAGTCCTCATAAAGTCATGTCTCAAGCACTACCAATTCTTAGCAATCGAACATCAAAGTGCTCAATGTGTCGCAGTCAAAGTTAAAACGGACCAAGGGGAAATTGCCATTGCGTCTAATTCTTTTCCTCCAAACTGCCTGCGCTCCTACAAGGACTTCAGAATACTATTTGAGGAACTAGGACCTAAATGCGGAAGACTGTAATGTACACCATAGACTTTGGGATTGCCGAAATTCTACAGTCAGTGGAAGAGTATTTGCAGACTATATCCCAAGAAGTATTCCGAAAGGCGCATATCCTCCATCGAAACGCGAGCATTCCACGGTTTCAGGTAGTATTTAACCAGCTAGTTAACCTCAACATGGTTCTAAGCTCCCCTGATGACATTGACGACTCCACAGAAGTGCGAAACATCCACATCGCTGCCGAATCCTCAACCTGTAGGCAAGATTCAATAAACCCATAAGACCCACCTCATGCTCTTTTAAAACCTGAGGTCCTGGATTTGGTGACGACGCAAAGAACCTTGCATCGCAAATTCATGCAAACGCGAGATCCGGCGGACTATAGGGCATATCGTCACGCTGAGGACAATATAAAGAAGTTGGTGCATAAGACGAAAAACGATTATTTAGCAGATCTGCTACGCAATGCAGACAGAAGAAAAGCGTATGGATTTAACCTCTTGAGAGCAGCAAGGTCAGTAAAACGGCAGCCCCACGCAGAATATCTATAAGGCGTGCTGACAACACGCAGATCGGCAATTTCAGCAGCAATTTTCTCTGTCTTTTGCTGATCAACATGAAGGTCGATTTTAGCCATTTGACCTTGCAAAGCGTGAGTACGTGGAAACACTGCCCAGGTGAAGAGCCCATTCGTTATGTGTCCGGAAGTAGTTTGTCTCCAAGTGAAAAACTTTACGCTAGTAAAGCTCCAGGACTTGACAAAATCGATAGCAGAGTTGACAAAGTTCTGCTCAAAATTGTCATATTACTCCTTATGCCCCTGTTCAACTTCATGTTACGTATCCACCCTTTCTCCACACAATGGAAGTGCACAGTGATATCGGCGATATCAAAGCCAGGCAAACTGGAGAAAGCTGGCTAATAAGCTTGCTGCCAAAATTCTCTAAAATGTTCGAGAGAATATTTTGTATGAATTATGGCAGTAAGAACCGTTCACGATACCATTCCAAATCACCAGTCCTTAAGGTTAAACTGCAGGACACGCTCATCCCTCAATCTCACCAGGCCCAGTGCCTGGGATTGATCCTGGACAACCGGCTTACGTGGAGACAGCACACCACCAAAATATCAGCAGCATGCCGTGGAAAGCTCTGAAAGCTAAACTGGATGATAAAGTCTATAAGCAAGCTGAACCTCAGCAACAAAGTGCTGCTCTACAAAGCAATACCCCTGCTAAGTCCGACTCTAACGTCATGTAAGTCCAAAGGGTCCAAAACCGGGCGCTGCGTACGATCACAAATGCACCCTGGTTTGCTACATACGACCTCCAGATCCTAACAGTGAGGGAGCAGATTAATCGACACTCAAGTCAAGACCACACCAGCCACCTATCGGCAACAGTGGCCAATCCCATTACCAAACGAAGGCTGAAGAGACGGCATCCAGCCGATCTTTGCTTAAGAGGGGAGCAAAGAACGCGAGTCCTACACCAATAAGTTAAATATTGTCTTTGTTAATTAACCCTAGACGGTCATGCTTATTTTTCCTACGTTAAGGTTATGCTTCGTCGAATCGACGACGCCAATTTTAAAATAGGTATAGTTGTTAAAAAACAAACAATATTGTAAAAATTTTTATTACAGCGTCTTATTCATAGTTATAACAGTTCAAAATGCGAAATAATAATTCATTCTCACATTTATAATATACTTTAAAAAAAATAAAAAAAACTTTTTTTCTTTTCGATCTTATGTGATTTCGCGTGGTCGAATCGACGAAGCATGCCTGAATATACGTTTTCTTTATTATGTTTAAAAAAATACTTTGTTATTAAACCTTATATGGTTCAGAATCTAAAAACTTATCTAAAGTGAAATAAAAAACATATAATAGAAGGTAAAACTTGTATACAAACTTATTGCAGGGTAGTACGCAAATGCCGCAACACTTTTCCATTCCGCTTAAATTTTTTTCAGCCTCTCTCATGTCAGCGTTAATTTGATCCATGCCTTCTTCGATACGGTCAAGTTGCTCTAAAAAGAAAGATTCGACATTTTTATGTGACAAAAAAAGAATACATGTTTATTAAGTAGCTTATAGTAATATTCCACGAACATGTTGGTGCACTTGATTTTTCTCACATACATATATGAATTAAGATAAAAAAGAGTTTTAAGTATACATAGCGAGTACTTTTTATAACTTAAGTTAAATTCTCCTTATGGATCGACTAAACCACAAAACGAATCATCGTTATAAGAGATGAATTAAGTCAGAATTTTGCAACGCAATAAATGAGTAATTTCCAGCCCCTATGAAGTATATATATTGATCGATTTTAGTTTTCTTATTTTTCCCAATAGTATTAAAGTCAAAATATGCCGGATAGGACGACTGTAACATATAGCTGCCAGATAAGCCATCGGTAGATTGTAAACAAAAGAAAAAACTATACATTTCTGGGTTTTAAACATATGGTATTTTACCTACTCTGATAGAGTATGTCCATAATATTATTAAATATCGGTTTTAATTTTATGGACACCAGACTACTAAACTATTATATATAGCATCTATAGGAACAATCAGGAAATTTAGAGAAAAAATGTAGACCTTGTTTTAGTTGGAAGTTTACAGGGGTGCAGTCTGTACTGTCTTCCCTTTCGAAGTGTTTTCGTGGTGATAAAGTTAACACTAAACTTTAAAAATCGCACAGCCAGTAAAGCGCTATGGTACGTATGATATACGGATGAAAGTGAGTGGGACGTTTTTTTAAGCTGTAAATTCCAATAAAATTAAATGTTGGTTATTGATGGAGCCATGGAGAATAAGCTCAAAGAAATAAGCGGCAGTCATATTTTTTAACACGCGATATTGAAGTAGAAAAAACGTCTACCAAGAGCAAACTTGGCTCTACTGGCCGTTGACAGCAAGAGACCGAGCTCTTGCTCACATGCTCTACTTACTCCAACTCCTACATCATAGATCTTTTAATGCCAAACCCCACCACCACGGGCTTCGATGAAAGACGTACCAACAACAAGCAGTGATACAATTTCTGCAATTGCAGCAACAGAAAAAACAATAACTGAAACAACGGCATATACTGCGAAATCCGTGCCAGGCCGTTGGCGCCAAAAACAATGGCAAAAAAAAGCGTAAGCTTCGATAATTAACAAGCGCTAGCGACCATACGAGTCAGAATGGATCGCTACATCCAGATCAAACGTTAGCTAAGTTCACAAAACACGGTTGGTACCAATCCAAAAATTTATCGGATCATCAAAAGCAACGAACAAGGCAGATTTTCCCTCCTACAGATGCCGAGAGCAACCAAGCAGTTCCGGGGCAAGAGATCCAAAAGAAAGAAGCCTATTAATGCCGTATCCTGTAACTGGGCCAGCCACTTTTCGCTGATTCCGCAAAGCTAAGTTCACTGATATGAGCGCTAATTAATCTTCCGTCGATTTGACTTTTCTGGACTCTGGACTTTTTCTACTGACGGTCTCTGGTTAAGCGATTCTATGACACTTTACTCTGGTTTTGACATATTTGTCCACCGTTTGCCTCTCCTGATGTTTCGCATAAGCCTCCCTGCTTTTCTAGTCGACTTTCTTATTTAAAAAATGTCAAGATTTTTTTTAATTCAGAAGAACCGGGCTGCAAGTCAACCGTGCTAGATTTTTAATAGCTCACTCTGATTGTCTGACTTTCAATTCTAAATGTTACAAAAACAACCCAAATCGGGGTAGAAATGAGTTAAAGGGCAATCCTAAGCAAATAAGCAATAACGAGCCTGATATCACAATTCGCAAAATGTTTCGAGATTACGTATTCCTCTTTTAGTTTTGATTAAACCTCGTCGTATTCATATTCTCTTCCGTACTCCAATTGCATTTTGCAGTGAAAACGATATTCTTTAGAATCTTAAAACACTTAAGCCTTCCATCTCTTCTGGTCCAGATCTGGTACCTAGCTGCGTTTTGAGAAATTGTGCCGTTACGTAGACCATTGTCAAAACTATTCAAGATCTCCCTTCAGCGTTCACTTTTTCCCGAAAGTTGGAGGGAATCTTTCATAATTCCGCTTTATAAAAAGAGAAGTAAATCGAACATCGAAAACTACAGAGGGTTTGTAATCGCAATAAATTCCCAAGTTTTTCGAACTCTCAATTACTGCTCAACTTCAGAACCAATGTCGCTCAAAAGAGACATCGCATCGTTTAAGATAAGTGTCTACCTCGATCTTTTTGACACAATTTATTCTGATGACTTCTGGCCCGAGCACGCTATAGTCAAGGAGTACGACGTAAAAATAAAGAAAAAACGACCTTTAAGGCCAGCACAAACCACATCGGCCGCGGAGGTCACGGCAGCGCCAAAAAACTAAATACCTTCCTCCTACTTTCCTATCAGAATACTAGAGGCTTACGCAGCACGCTCTCTAAATTGTATTCTGATAGTTTTTCGTTTTGTGTATTGTACCGAAACCTGGTTAAAGCCGGAGATTCTCAGCTCCGAAATTTTTCCGGGTAAGTACACAACTTATAGATTAGACCGTCTTTCCCAGCGAGGAGGTGGAGTTTTAATCGCCGTTGACTCCACCCTTAGTTCCGAACTGGTTCAAATTGACGATCTCACAGGTATTGAATTTATCTGTGTAAAACTATCATTTCCAGGTAGTTTTATCTATATAACTTGTTCTTACGTTCCTCCATTTGCTGAAGAGCCCATTTATTGGAAACACCTTTCGGCAATTCAGACCGTTTCCAACATGCTTTCGGATAGAGACCAACTAGTAACTCTAGGTGACTTCAATATACCTGGAGCTCGTTGGTCATCAGATGGTACGTCCAATGTCCTCCAAACTCATAGATGGCTTGCTTGACATTTCTTTGTCCCAAGTTAACCATGTCTTAAGGGGGGACATCTGAGTAACTGGCAAAAAAAAGCCCATTTTCTAGATTTTTTTTTGGCCAAATGAAAAAGCCAATCGAAAAATTTTAAAGTAGGTTTGATAATGTTAGATGTGAACTACAAAATACATTTTTTTGTTAATAAATCGAAAACAAAATGGCGGCGGTGCAGCATGTCTTCGTAGGCCCTATTTTTTTGAAAGGGGTCCATGGCCGAAAACCTAACGTCCTTAGTTTTTGATCTAGAACAAAAAATCAAATTTTGTTAGTTTCTATATCTCAACCGCTATCGACGTACGTAGGATTTTTTCGATATTTTGATATTTAGCAAAATGGTGAGTGATTAAAAAAAATTATCAATTTTTATGAAAAAAAAACGTCACAAAATTGTTGATAAAAAAAAAGTGAGAAAAAAAAATACTACGTACGTCGATAGCCATAGGTATTTTTGATATACTGTCAAAATTTCAGATCGATCGGTTAAGATTTGTTCGAGTTATGTTTTCGGCCAACTCAAAAAAAGTGGTTTTGAGAAAAACGCGTTTAAAGTTTTAAAATCGTATATGATTACATGTGAGGCATCGCCGCAGAATGGAAAATTTGGACACTTAGAAACTTTTGCCGGACTCTATCTTTTGATATGTTATTTTTAAGACCCAAAAGTATTTTTTAAGCAAAAAAACAATTTTTCGATTTTTAAAAAAAGTTACTCAGATGTCCCCCCTTAAATTCTTTAAATCGCTTACTAGATCTGTGTTTCGCCTCCGATCTTGTAGGTGTAAACTTAACAAGAGTTGATCCATTGACGCTTCCTGAAGACCCTTACCATCCTACTTTCGAAGTGACCATCGATTTGGGGACTGTCGTAAAGAACAAACCAGATCTGAGTCGCTCAGCCACTAAAGTTCGCTGCTTTCGTAAAGCAAATTTTCAAAGGCTAGATATCTTGATTTCTGAATTTCATTGGTCTGATCTTTACATAAGCACTGACATGGCGTCCGCCGTGGATATTTTTTACAGTGTCATGAATGCGTTCTTTGCATCGTGTGTTCTGTTAACCTATCCGTCGGTTTCTAGTAAACCACCATGGTTCACTAAAGAGCTGAAACGCCTAAAAAACATTAAGGCTAGGCTTTATAATCGCTATAAACGCACCGGTTCTCCTACTATTCTTTCTAGATATCATAGTGCTCGGTCGAATTTCACGCGCAGTGTTATACAATTTTTTGTTTTGCATTTTCGATAGCTTTAAGTGTGTAGAATATCATACTAAAAGGGCAAATCCAAATACGTAAATGTTTAAAAGTTATGAGCTTCCGAACCGGCCGACTCAAAGCAGCTACAGAGCAACCAAAAAACTTTAAACGCGATTTCTATTAGATCTTAGTCAATTTTCAACGAATCTTAATAATTTTGTTGTTAAATACGCGTAATTGAATTGTCCTTGGAATAAAAAATTTTGAAGCGCCGCCATTTTGTTATTTTTTATTAAATTTTGATAAAAGTAGGCTATTTTATAACCACATTCATACTAAACAATAACATTTTTGAAATTTTTGTTTCTGTCGATTTTTACGTCCTGCAGGATGGTCGCCAGAGGCGTTCCTTTTTTGAGCATAGGCCTGTGTCCTGCTTCAGGACATGCTCTAAAATTTTTGCTAAATCATCTTTAAACTATGATAAATATATGTGACAAGTTTAAACTTTCAATGTCTCTTCCTTTGTCCACAGAAAATTCCCGAAATTTGCCTATTTTTTGGCCCAACTAACCAGAATGGACCCTTAACTCGCTGTAGGGTTCAGTTCAAGTAGGACCCGAAACAGTTTTATAACTTTGTTAACACTAAACGAAAACCCAATCTATATCCTTCCGCGCTTTCATTTAATAACACTACGGCAAACTCTGATCAGGCCATCGACGATCTCTATGCCGACTTTTTCAAAACTACTTATTCTTCCTCAAATAGCTTAGATCAGACTAACTCTTTTGATTTGCCCAAGGCGAACCTAATTTTCAGTCCTATTTTAACCGAAAGCTCCCTTAGTTCAGATCTTCATCGTGTAAAACCAGTTTACTCACCGGGTCCCGATGGAATACCAGGCTGCGTGCTCAGGTAT